CTGGAAAAGCCCCTAGCCTCCAAGCATTCAATAATGAAATCCCAGTTCACCATGTCATAAGCCTTCTTCAAATCAAGCTTAAAGATGGCATTTCCCCCTCTGCAAGTTTTCTCCAAATCCTGTAGAAGTTTTTGAGCCAGGAGGATGTTATCCCCAATGCTTCTAGATTTCACAAAAGCAGCTTGGTTATTGCTGACAAGTTGAGGTAATACAGGCTGGGGTCTGTGTACAATAATTTTACTTATAGTCTTGCTTATCACATTGTTAAGACTCAGGGTTCTGTAATGATTCCAGCTATCCTTGATAGAGGTCTTTAAAATGAAGACAATGGTAGGAGCACTGAAATAATTAGGTAGTGAGTTACCTTTGAAAAAGTGTTGGATAGCTTTGATCACCTCCACCTTGATAACCTCCCATGCTTTCTTGTAGAAGTCTGCAGTAAACCCATTAGGTCCAGTAGATTTAGAGCTGTCTATAGAATTCAAGGCTATTTTACAGATATGGCAGATTTAATAGTGGAATTACATAAATTGATAACCTCCTCATCAGGAATATCTTTTAAATGCAGATTGGCAGTAAACTTCTTGCTGTTAACAAACAAATTGCTATCAATGTGCACTCTTTCACAGTTGATCTCATTCATTAGGTTCTGGCAGTACTGCACAACACTTTTAGCAATTTCCTCCTCCTGCTTGATCCAAATTCCATTTTGGTCCTTGATGGAGTGTATAGTGTTACATTTTCTCTGGTATTTTATGCAGGCATGGTCAAATTTAGTGTTTCTATCTCCTTCAGTAAATTTGGTTTTGGCAGCCTTTTGTTGTAGGAATTGTTCCTTCCACTGAACAGCATTAAGAGTTTTTCATTTGCCTCAAGAAAAATAGCTTCATTAATCCTCCCTTTACTATGCTCCTCCTCCAGATTAACTACCTCCTTTTCAGCCTTATCTACAATCAGCAGGAGGTCCCAAAAGTGTCCCAGCTCCACCGTTTAAGAGCTTTGGCCACCTTTTTTTTATTAATCCACAGGTTGATGAAGGGGTCAGGGTGAAGGTCATTCTTCAAATGTTCCTTAATAAATTTCAAGAAGTTCAAGTGTTGAGACCACACATTCAGATATCTGAAAGAGCTTTTTTGGCTTGTCACCTTATTCTCTATAGTGATCAGTAAAGGCCTGTGGTCTGAACCAACAATGCTTAAGTGAGTGATGGAAGTCTGCAAAAACTTTTGGATCCAATTATCATTGGCAAGCACTCTGTCCAACCTTTCCCACTTGTCCTTCCTTCTCCAAGTAAAGCTAGGACCACTGAACCGCAGATCAAATAACCCAATTTTTTGGATATTATCATTAAAGAATGATATAGTGGTGGGGTTGGGAGGTCTGCCTCCCTTCCTCTCAGCAGGAGAGGAAACGCAATTGAAGCCTCCTCCCACAAGCCAAGCCTTATCAATTGAACCTTGGATGAGCTGTAGGGATTCCCACAGAACAATTCTAGCAACTTTAGAAATTCCTGCATAGACAAAAGAAGCAAAAACCTCCATGTCCACAAAGCTGAGATTCATATGTAAGATTTGGGTATGGTTAAGTCTTGGATGTGCTGTAGGGATTCCCACAGAACAATTCTAGCAACTTTAGAAATTCCTGCATAGACAAAAGAAGCAAAAACCTCCATGTCCACAAAGCTGAGATTCATATGTAAGATTTGGGTATGGTTAAGTAAGATAGAGCACTTCATTTCTTTCCTACACTTTCCTACAGAAAACCCAAATTTTGTTGCTGATATTAGTGAACCGATTGAAGCCTATGAATGCTTTGGCAATTTTTAAAGTGTTGAGATGAATCATAGGTTCCAAAATGGCTATGCACCAAAATTTGTGTTTTTTATTTAGATATTTGAGTCTTTTTCAGGATAAGGGGTGAGCAATCCCCCTTATGTTCCAGCACAACAAGTTGATCATGGGGAGAGGGGAGAAGAGTAAGGTTGGGACCTGGACCTAGTCCTTCCTCTAGTTTTGTTAGAGCCTTTTTTTATCTGATTGATATATACCTCCAAAATTTGAAGCTCCTTTCCTTTGTCAAGGTCTTGTCCTTCTGATTTGTAGTTCTTTTTCTTTTTAGTTTTTTGAATTTGCCAATCTAACTCCAGTTCTTTATTCATTGCTTCTACTAAGTTCTGGCTGGGGGAAGCCACCACTGAATCCACCACATGGTTCTTTAAATTTCTGGGAGATAAGGGAGCAAGCATCACCTCCCTAACTGTCTCAACCTCTGATTGGATCTCCAAGTTCTTATCCTTTGTAGATTTCTGACCAGCAATTGTGCTAACATTTCTAACTGTCTCTACCACAAAGGAGATATCCTGTTGGATGAGAGTCTTATCTATCCTTGCAACAGTAGAGGACCTCTTGTGCACTTCTTTACTTCCAACTTCCAGGAGATTGTTGTTAGCATCAACCAACTCCTGTTGAGGTTGGTGATAAACCCTTCTATTGGGGGATTTTAACCTATAGCATCTCTCCCTAGTATGACCAAACATTTTACAATGTTGGCAATAATGGGGTCTTTGCTCCATGATTACTTCTTGCCAAAACCCCCTATGAGTGTCCCCAATCCATATCCTCTTGACATCAGGAAGAGTAACATCCTTTTCCACTAGGATTCTTGCACAGGCTGGTCTGGCTTTATTAAAAGTAGCAGCATCTACCTTCAATGGTGTACCCAAGGTGCACCCAATATTGAACAAGGCATTCAATTTAAATAGGTGCAATGGCAATTTAGGTAGCTTAAACCATATAGGCACTGTGGGAGGTTCTTGGGATGGTTCATAATCAAGTGACCATTTTAAAATTTTCATTTATGTTCCAGCTATGTTGATGGATTGTTTGGCAAATATTCTGGCATAGTCCTCTTCCTTTGTCAGCTGGATTAGTAAACTCCTGTCATCCAGCAGACCTAGCTTTCACTCTGAAAATTTTAAGGAGTCAAAATATTTCCTTACAAGTTCCATCTTTGGGGGGCCCAAGCTGAATTTGCTCATTAGAGTAAATTGAACCTCCAAGTTTAAATCAGCAATCTCCTTTTCAGAGAAAATAGCTGCTGGTTCCCCATCTTTTGAGCCCACTAGATGAATGCAAGAGGCAGAACCTCTCCCAGCAGCAGTGCTATGAAATTTCTGAGCAAAGACTAGTAAATCAGGGTCCAACAAAAAGGAAGAGGGATTTCCTACAACCCCAGCATAGGTGGCTTTAGTCCATTGCAAATTAGTGTCCAGATCAATAGGGGTGGACATGGTTCACCAACCAGCACCCTCAAGACAAAGAAAGAGCAAGAAGCATGAAAAAATGAAGATGGCTAGAACCAAGCCCAACCACAGAAAGAACAAAAGACACAGCAGAGATACACCCCAGGCCAAAACAAACACCAGCTAAAATGGAAGAAGAAGGCTAGCAGCTTCAGCTAACATTTAAAACAGTAACTCCTTCTCTTAAACAGTAGAAAACCTCAGCTTCCCCCTACAAGACCAAAGGAAACAGTGCTAGAGGATCAAACCAAGCCTAAGGATCCCCTTAAGGAGAAATCAAACTCCTTTAGCAAGCTCCGCAACAACACCATGCATCTCCATCACAGCTGAAATCCTAGCAGAGCACAGCTAGGTCCAGCCGCCACCTTCATTCTTTATGATCAGAGACTATGATACGACCCTGACCATCTCTCATGCACCCATAATTCGAGGACCACAAACTGCATGCGGGGGAGATTGAACCCAAAAACAGAGGGGACATACAACTGAAAAACCGATACCCGACCAACTGATCTGAGTATGCGGCACACACACACACACAGATTAAAAAATGTAATACAATTTTTAAGCTTCGCAGTTTTTGATGGTGGAAAATATTTAGCAAGGAATTTTTGTACTATATCACCCCAAGTTCTGATAGATCCAGGTGCTAACGAATTCAACCACATCTTAGCTTTATCCCTCAGTGAGAAAGGAAATAACCTAAGTCTAATGGCATCATCTGAAACACCATCGTATTTAAATGTAGTACACAATTCTAGAAAATTGGTAAGATGTAAATTTAGATCTTCTGTTGGTAATCCCCCAAACTTATTATTTGATACCATTTGGAAAATAGCAAGTTTAAGCACAATTGAAGTAGCCACTATAGTAGGTTTCTTAATACTACAATGAAGTTCATCTACAGTAGGGTTGGCATAATCTCTTAAATGTCTAAACTCTTGATGAATTTCAACATTTTGATTATTTTGGTTTGTTATTTCTATATTTTTTTTTTATTTTTCAAGATTTCTTATTTTTTTGGTTTTTCTGATTTTTCTAATAGTTCTTTCTAATTCAGAATCGTATGACATTAGTCCTTCAAAACCTGAACTACGTATACACTAACAAAAAATAAAATAAAAAAAATAAAACATACAAAATGAGATACTTTAAAGTTTAAATATGACTTTCTAAAAATTGAAATTTGCTTAGTTTTCTTCCCCGACAATGGCACGAAAAACTTGATCCCCGATCCTAATGCTTATGCGCAGTATAACAATAGTTTTGATGGTATTTTTCACTTATATTTCCTTATGTTGCAACGAAACCAAAAACTTGATCCTGAAGAAAAATAAGAATTTAACTTTTTAATTTATATATATTTGGAATACTACGTAAGTATACGTAACGTTATCAAGCAATATAGGACTTTTTGATTATAGGACTTTTTGATTAGACTTTTTGATTAAGACCTGAATATCAAACCCACAGGGAAGATTATGTAATATGCACTTTTTAGAAAGTTTTTTTTATTTTTTAAAAGATAATTACTTAAAATAAAATTGATTTTTGTAGGAATTTAAAATTTAAATATTTTTGATATTTTTGATATTTTAACGAAACAGTAACAACTTAAAAAGATAACTAAAGTTTTTGTAGAAGAAAAGTACTTAATATCAAAACAACTTTCTTCTTATCATGAATCAGTAATAAGTATAGGAATTCTGTTGTGGAAGTATACAAATTGTGTTGTACCAAATATGAGCAATAATATTCTTTACCCTTACTAGAGATGCTATAAAGAACATTCGCTAATTTCAAGTTTGAATAGTTCTAAAGACCAGTTATGCAGGGAAGATACTAGCTCTCACTCTAGAGTTCCCTCAATTCCCTCCACCTGGGGGCTAATATTCTCGTATCAGAACCAAAAATAATAAACCAACGTAGGGGCTTTAACCTGTCACTTTAAAGTCCTCTAACTCTACACCAATCAATGAATATTTTCCTATTTATTTGCACTCAATCATATGAACTACATTCTCATTCATTCAACCTCATGTGATTCTTTCCAATTGTTGACTGAGAGAATACCAGCCCGGTTCTTACATGTTCTCACAACAAATTTTAACATCTAGATTGGCCAAATCAAGAATTAAATGAAGTATTGCATGGAGTTAAATCATCACAACTTCTTCTAACATTAAAGATCAATAATCTCCACAACTTCCATCCAAAACTTAATTACTTATCATTTTAAGAAGAAAGATAAAGAAAACTACTCAGAATCCTTGGAGAAAACAAAACCACACTTTAGTATAAAAGAAGAAATCATTATCAAACAAACAACAAGTCTTAATTAAAACCAAAAGTAGTCTAAAACAAAAAGATAAAAACTTATCTCAAGTCCCCCAACAAACTCTTGAAGATCCTTAGAATCTCTTTTCTTTTACAATCACTGAAAACAAAATAACAAAAAAGATAAACTAAATAAAAAGTGGTTCCTGAAATTCTCTCCGAACTAACTCCCTAGAGAAGAACTTTCAAAACTTGCCAATATTTTCAGGACACTTTTCTGAGTCCTCTCTTCTTTCTTTAATAGTTTTCTAAGAGGTGCCTTGGGATCTCTTCAAAATGTGTCTTGATTCGATGTATTTTCCCAAGAGACGCATCCTTTCATGATAATTTTCATCCATGGTGATTACAACCACCTATTAAGCCAATGGGTGCCTCAAAAACCTCTTCAAAATTTGTGAAAACCAATTTTACTCGTCTAGTAACTACCACTAATGCTTAAGCGCGGGGTCTCGGGGCTTAGGCGCGGCCTTCTCTGTTTAGCCGGCGCTTAGGTGCCAAAACTCTTTGGCACAATTTTTCACATTTTTACTCCAAATTTGATCCTTTTTTCACTTCTTTAAGCATGTTTTCCATTTTTACTTATATCTGTAAGAAAAACACAAAAATACCTTCCATTAAAGCACAATATCTCAAAAATAGGTATAAAAATTTGTCTAAAAATACTATATATTTCAGGTTTATCATCTTTTGCTTCCTCTAAGAAGATTCACACCCAAATATTTCAGAGGCAAGGAAGAACACTTAAAACCTGTTAAAATATGTAGCCTACATCTTTGTATCATTTTTAGCATATTTCCCAAACTACATCATACATTTGGCATTGCTAAAAGTAAGCTCTGAAGTGTATTGGAAAGTTTTGATGTTATCCATTAAAATTTTAAAGCAACTTTAGAAGCATTTGAG